TTTGAAGCTTCTGAAACGTCTTTGCTGCAACACCAGCAATAACTGTAGCAGGTTCATTGTCATATACTGCACCTATAGGTCTGGGATCTGCAGCAATCCAAGCAGTGCTTCGACTTGCTTTAAGAACCAAAACAAAAACAACATTCACAAAATCATGTTAGGAAACTAAGTATTGGCAGCAGACGAAAAGRCAAAAAGTGATACTTACATCTTTGATTTTTAATCCAGCCAATTTGTTGCAAACGAAGTTTATCACGCTCTGTTCTCGTGACTAGACGAGAACCAGTATAATCAAATGGTTCAACCCGTTGTCCATTCCCATCCATATCAATATAAACACCAAAGCACAATCTTGCCTCAGCTTCATACTTGACCTTAACAATCTTTTTTATCTCATCTGAATAGTTACCACTTGCATCAAGCTTGCCATCTTTATTCCTTTTGAAACAAACTGATACATTTGGCCTGCCATTACCAATTTGGCTCCCAGAGGCTCCAATGGCACACTTCCTGTGACATTCATCATACCAAACAACCTGATTAAGTTTGAGCATGGTCAATTTGGTTACATCATAGCAGGGTGGAGGCTCATCCTCTTTATATCTGTCACCCAATATTGTTCGGAAAATCTCATGACTAAAATCAATTGCTTGGAAGCGTAGCAGGATCTGGGCRAACCATCTCATTGAGGCTCTTGCCCAATCTGATTCCTTATCTTTAGATCCTTGCTTCCCCTTCTTGACGGACTTGATAAGTGGATTTAAACRAAGAAAGCAATGACGGACTGCAGAAAGTGTGACTGAATCAAGTAATGCRGCTTCTCTATACTGATTAACCATGTAGGATGCCATCTTCAAACTGTTCCCTTCCTCACATGCATCTGCAATGATTTCRGCCTCAATACCATCTGCTTCGAGTACAACTGGGCGGCCCRCTTTTGAATAGTCTCCATCTCCAGTATATATAAGATTGTTTTCTCGGCAGTGAATAACTTGACGAAGGACAGTTTTAATTGTAGTGCCGAAGTTGTGCTTGCCATTTACTCCGTCCTCTCCTAGCATCTTTCGGATCTGACTCANTTTGAAGCTTCTGAAACGTCTTTGCTGCAACACCAGCAATAACTGTAGCAGGTTCATTGTCATATACTGCACCTATAGGTCTGGGATCTGCAGCAATCCAAGCAGTGCTTCGACTTGCTTTAAGAACCAAAACAAAAACAACATTCACAAAATCATGTTAGGAAACTAAGTATTGGCAGCAGACRAAAAGRCAAAAAGTGATACTTACATCTTTGATTTTTAATCCAGCCAATTTGTTGCAAACGAAGTTTATCACGCTCTGTTCTCGTGACTAGMCGAGAACCAGTATAATCAAATGGTTCAACCCGTTGTCCATTCCCATCCATATCAATATAAACACCAAAGCACAATCTTGCCTCAGCTTCATACTTGACCTTAACAATCTTTTTTTATCTCATCTGAATAGTTACCACTTGCATCAAGCTTGCCATCTTTATTCCTTTTGAAATAGACTGATACATTTGGCCTGCCATTACCAATTCGGCTCCCAGAGGCTCCAATGGCACACTTCCTGTGACATTCATCATACCAAACAACCTGATTAAGTTTGAGCATGGTYAATTTGGTTACATCATAGCAGGGTGGAGGCTCATCCTCTTTATATCTGTCACCCAATATTGTTCGGAAAATCTCATGACTAAAATCAATTGCTTGGAAGCGTAGCAGGATCTGGGCGAACCATCTCATTGAGGCTCTTGCCCAATCTGATTCCTTATCTTTAGATCCTTGCTTCCCCTTCTTGACAGACTTGATAAGTTGATTTTATACGAAGAAAGCAATGACGGACTGCAGAAAGTGTGACTGAATCAAGTAATGCGGCTTCTCTATACTGATTAACCATGTAGGATGCCATCTTCAAACTGTTCCCTTCCTCACATGCATCTGCAATGATTTCGGCCTCAATACCATCTGCTTCGAGTACAACTGGGCGGCCCACTTTTGAATAGTCTCCATCTCCAGTATATATAAGATTGTTTTCTCGGCAGTGAATAACTTGACAAAGGACAGTTTTAATCTTAGTGCCGAAGTTGTGCTTGCCATTTACTCCGTCCTCTCCTAGCATCTTTCGGATATGACTCACCGTCTTAAGCTTCTGCCACTCCTTCTCCGGTGGACTGCCTAGCACTTTTTCAAATAATACTGCAATGGCAATCCGAATATTCTTTTTTGAAACAGCTGCATTGTGGGTGGGTGAGAATATAGGATCTTCAATGTATTSTTCAGGAGTTATGTCAATTGCCTCTTCCTCATCATCATCACTAGATGCAGATTCATTATAGTTGATATCCTCCWGGTCTCTCTTTCTTGGTGGTAGCTTTTTATCCAATTCTAGCTCTGAAACTGCAACATCATTCTTGTATTTTGCTTCAAGTAATGCAGTCTTCAGCTCTTCCTCCTTTTGCAAAGCTTCCTGTTCTTTCCTTTGTCTAACAAGCAAAGCACTGTTTCGATTGGTCTTCCTCCCACCGTACTTAGGTCCTCCTCTCTTTTTTCGTGGCATTTTCAATTTTTCGTGTGAAGAGGGGACAAAGCGTTACGGCCGTTTACGGACGTTTCGTAAAGAGGCAAAGCGTTGCGGACATTTCATAAAGAGGAAGCTGGAGGCTTGCGTGCTTTGTAAAGACAGGGGCTGTATCGCGTTGGACGTTACGGACGTTTCGTAAAGAGAGGAAGCGTTACGGACGTTTCATAAAGAGGCGAAAGCTGGAGTCGCTTGCGTGTTTCGTGTTTCGGCTGGAGGCGCTTGCGTGTTTCGTAAAGAGAAAGCTGGAGGCTTGCGTGCTTCGTAAAGACAGGGGCTGTATCGCATTGGACGTTACGGACGTTTCGTAAAGAGAGGAAGCGTTGCGGACGTTTTGTAAAGAGACAAAAGCTGGAGTCGCTTGCGTGTTTCGTGTTTTGGCTGGAGGCGCTTGCGTGTTTCGTAAAGAGGAAGCTGGAGGCTTGCGTGCTTCGTAAAGACAGGGGCTGTATCGCGTTGGACGTTACGGACGTTTCGTAAAGAGAGGAAGCGTTGCGGACGTTTCGTAAAGAAACAAAAGCTGAAGCTGGTGGGGCGTTACGGACGTTTCGTAAAGAGAGGAAGCGTTACGGACGTAGGCGCTTGCGTGTTTCGTGTTTCGTAAAGACAGGGGCTGTGTCGCGTTGGGCGTTACGGACGTTTCGTAAAGAGGAAGCTGGAGGCGCTTTGCTTTGCGTGGGCCGTATTATTCGTAAAGACTGGGGCTGTACCAGTACTGTAATAGACTCGGTTGCTTTTTAACGGAGGGAGGATGTAATATGTGAGTGTGAGTATCATGCAATTGTTCTTTGTGCTTAAGAACTCCGGTCGACTCAAAGATTGATTTCGGTGTCAAGGGGCCCTTTTGATGCACCTCTTCGGGTGATTGGAGTATGAGTGAAATCTTACACGTGTAATAAAAAATGAGGGGGAAACTGGTTGGAGTATAGCAATTTCTTACACGTGTAACAAAAATTCGCTCGAAATTTTGGGATGACACGCTCTTTTTTCCTGTTTGTAGAGTGGTCGCAGAAGAAAAACCGTTTGAATATATATGCCTTAACCGAAACTTTAAAGGTCGAATTAAAGCAAATTTAATCTTATATTCATTAATTAAGACCATAGATATATTCGTCTTGTTATATTGTTATAAGCTTTCGATCCATATATATTGATAGGGGTTACACACGTTCCCACGGAGTCGAAACTGCTCCTCCTGATTCTTTTCCCATGAGGAGGTACATCCTTTGTATCATCCAACAAGATCTTTCATATTTTTTGCACATACCTTCTCCCGGTACGAAGTAGAAGTACGAGTACTCTTACTCGTTAGGGCAGTAGATACTTTTCTTCTTTCTTTACACTACGACCTATCGAAACAACATGATTCCTAAACAGCACATCCTATCTGCTAACAGAGTAAACTCCAGAACAGTAGCAGATATGGCTCATAGTAGCAAAAGTATTCTTCGAAGGAGCAAAAGTGAGAGTTCTGACAACAACTCAGAAATACCTGGGCCTCGTGAATCAGCAGCATCCCCGCCACCCAGCGCTTGCAGGTCGTCCTTTGAAGACACGCTGGCTTCTTCGTGTAAATTCGGCCCAAGCTCTACAGAAAATGAATGCAGTCCGTTGATAATCGTATCAAAATTGGACTCGGTATCCGCCGAGCGATCACGCAATACCAATGATTATGATCTTTACAACATCGCAATGGAAGATGCAAACTCGCCTGGAGCGCAGCAGCATCAACTCCATATGCACACTATAAGTACAGTAGGCGTCGACTATGACGACGAAGACGAGGACGATTTGATTCAAAATGATGGTAGATCTCGGTCTTACACAATATGCAATCATCGGTGTCAGCATCCACAATATTGTCTTACAACTCTGTTGTTGATAGCTAGCTTGGTTTTATTCGTTTCGAGTCTCGTCATTCTAGGAATATCTTATCATTACTATTCTATAGTTTCGTCTCCGAAGGCTGTGTCCAACAATAATATTATAATCAATTCCCACGGCGGTGGGTTCGATGAGGAAAGAGAAGCAGCGCTGAAAGGAATATTGTCATCAAAAGCTTCTCTGAACAATTTATCGAATGGTGCCGTTGCTTCGGACCATCCAGTCTGTTCCAAGGTCGGTGCCGATATTTTGTCGAAGAAAGGAGGGAATGCTGTCGATGCCGCGGTAGCGACTGTCCTTTGCCTCGGCGTTGCAAACCCCGCCAGCTCGGGATTGGGTGGAGGTGCATTTATACTCATTCGATCCAGCAAAACGCATTTTGAATCGAAACAGAAGCAACAGCATACCAGAAACTCGTCGTCTACACTTTTGACTCCAGTGTTCGATGATGCCCGAGACTACACTATCACAAACAACGAAGACCCCAATTTTGTGACCGAGGTTGTGGATTGTAGAGAAACTGCTCCGGAAAAAGCATCTCGAGACATGTACACAGGACTCCCAAGGCAAGCTTCCTTTGCCGGGGGATTAGCCATTCCTATTCCTGGAGAATTAAGAGGATTGGAACTTGCTCATTTCCGTCACGGGAGGCTTACCTGGAGCGAGGTGGTTGAGCCAGCTAGGTTGTTAGCAAGAGATGGAGTTTTGGTGGGTAGCCATCTTTCTGCGGATATCAAAGGGCTATTCACGAGATCTTTTCCTTGGCTCGGTGAATATGAAGACAACTTCTTGGCCATTCGAAAGTATCTTTCCTCTAGCAATTCTACCGAATACCTTCGAGAAGGCGAACTCCTTCGAAATCCCAGCCTTGCAAAATTGCTCCAAGAGGTTGCAGAACAAGGAGCAGATGCCTTATACAAGGGAAAGAATGCGGAACTCTTAGTGAGAGATATCCAAGACTCGGGAGGAATAGTAACTGTAAAAGATTTGGAAACCTACCGAGCAACTCTACGAACCCCAATCCGTGCCACTGTCTCGGGCTATTCAATAGTCGGCGTGCCACCACCCAGCTCGGGAGGAGCCGTCATAATTGGTATTGCCCGCTTTTTGTCTGGCTACCCAAGGCCATTTGCTTCAGCTTCTGAGACATTGTCTGTTCATCGAATGGCTGAGGCGATGAAGCATGCTTTTTCTATTCGCATGTCTATGAGTGATCCGGCTTACAACGGAAACGTTACACAAGATGCGGTCCGCGACCTAACCAGCAATGGATACATGGAATCCCTTCGGCGAATCACAAGCGATAAAACCACTCTCGGCCTCTCCCACTATGGGGGACCCAAATGGTCCCTAATGCGCGATGATGATGGAACAAAAGAGGTAGTGGACGCGCACGAAGGGGATCGTCGAGAAATACGACATCTACTAAGCGATGACCAGCAGAGAACCAAGCCTAGTACTCTGCCAGAGATTGCTGTGGGCACTGGTGGAATTCATGCGAAAAGCAGGAGCATACAGAATCGCAAAATGAGTCAGCGGTTTGGATATTTAGAGGACAATGGCACTTCACATTTATCTGTTGTGGACAAGGATGGCAATGCTGTTGCCGTAACGACCTCTATCAATGGCATTTTTGGAAGCATCGTCTTCAGTGAATCGACGGGTATCATGCTGGGCAATACCATGGACGACTTTGGGGTTCCTGGTGCTCCCAATCATTTTGGACTTCGTCCCTCCGAGTCAAATTTTGTCGCTCCTGGAAAAAGGGTAAGTAGAAATCAATTATTTGAAAGGACGAAGAAACCATATGCTTCTTTGACCTGTTAACATGAACAAGCACCTAACACATTTGACTGCAACTGCTCGTACCCTACATCAGCCTTTATCATCGATGAGCCCAACAATGGTGTTTCGCAGGACTAATCGTTCCGATGTCATAACTGCATCCGATAATAAATGGGAAAATCTAGCCATGGTCTTGGGTGGTTCCGGCGGACCTAAGATCATTACCGCTGTGATCCAAGTATTTTTAAACGTTTTTTTTCTTGGGATGCCCTTGTTTGATGCCATTGCCAGGCCTCGTGTACACGACCAACTGTTGTATCACGAGTCCGTCGTGACAACTACCGAGAGAGCTATTCTGAAAGGAGGGACGAAATCCAATTATACCGAAATCACAATCGATGTTCCTCAACGAACAAAGGATGCACTGTTGAAACGTGGGCACAAACTCATTGACATCGATTACACAGGATGTGTCCAATCCATACTCGTTGATCCTGATACCAATACATTATCGGCCGTAAGCGACGTACGAAAAGGTGGAAGTCCGGCTGGATACTGAAATCTTCATTCAGTACTAAACTAAGATTGACTCGTAAACGATATTGCGTAAAGATGATTCAGGAACGAAGTTGACGAAAACGGAGTTTCTGATGTAGCAACCTTCTACTTCGAAGCTCGAACCTAGCAAATTGACCAATGGCTCATGGTGAAAGAGAAACTACTGCTCAAATAGCAAACAAACCCAAAACGGGAACAGAAAAATGACAATGCTGTTGTTTATTTGACTTTCTATTGTTACACACGATCAGATGCCATTACACTCGGTATAACTATGCTATTGAACCGTGATGGTAATCTCCTCACCCGTCCCCTCGTACTTGATCGAAGATTTGATGTTAATATACCCACTACGCCGAATATATTCAGCCAAAGTTTTTAGTAGAAAGTTGTTATCAAGCGGGTCACCCTCGACTTGCAAGACCTTTCCACTCCAGAGTGTCGCAGGAGCGCTGAGCGATAAAACATATGTGGCTAGTACACCATTTGATTCAGGCGCAATTGTTTTCACGTCTCCCTTGAACGCGTAACCACCAATGAGAAATAGATTCACAATTTGTCGAATTCCCGACAATAGCGCGACGGAGTCGGGTTTGTAACCGATGTTGGGAATCTTCGATTCTGTATTGGCGAAATTTTCTTCGAGTTTATCCAAGATTTTACTTCCCACCTTCTTGTCGAAAGTGGGTATCAGCATTTTGTTGGTTAAAGTTGGATCTCGTTGCACAATGACAGGGACGAATCTTGCCGTTCCATTAGGATTCATGCTCGGTTCAGATGAACCCTCAGGAGGGACCTGTTGTTCTTCAAAGACGTATGGTGGATCCTGTGTGACCTCCCGATTAATTGTTTTATATTGCGCAAAAGAAATGAAATCAAAATAAAAGGGATCGGTAAGGTCACCCTGTGTGACCATTCCTGCCCCAAGATTTTTCGTGTATGTTTCGTACTCAGCAACTCGAATAAGGAAAAAATCCCGTTGGAACTGATCCATGGCCACGCAATCCATCTCATCCAGAGCATTGTAAGAGGATCTCATCAAAAGAACTGCAAAATCCTGAGATAGTTTCCGCCGCAATATCTTCGGTGGTTTAGGACGCAGTTTTCTCTTGGCAATCGCGAGGACACTGTCCGTGTCTTTAGCTCGAACGGGTTCTGCTGCCGAGGCTGGGAGTTCCAGTGTCGTGGCCACCGCTGCAAGAAAACAGGTGTTGGCGAAAAGATTTCGTCTTGTCGAAGATGTACTCATGATAGGAGTAATTTTATCTATGTTCGATACTACTGTTGCCTGTTGTTCGTTCTCGAAGTCTCCTTCACAGTCAAACCGAATACCTCTCAATTGAACCAAATTTCCATCATCTCCCCTCCCAATAAAGGACGTCGCAGAAGAGTGAACAACTAAGGCATCGATTGTCAATTTGACCCTAGTAGAACCCAGGAAAGCGCAGCTGACGAGCGCTAGGAAGAGATGGGGTACAAGTGGTCGACTGAATCGGCGAGCCATATTGGTGCGGTTGGATTGGCTGAGATCGAGTTAACCCAACTTTGGTTAGTGAATTATACCACCGTTCCATACACTTTGGACAAGACGAAGACCTTCGGTTGATAAAAGTTGACCGACGCGAATGATTCCGACAACAGAGCTAATCTTATGAATTTTGAAGTCGAGACAAAGAGATCGGAGGTGATTCTTCTACTGTAGTGCGAGTACGTACTACTACGATTTTTCAGTGCGGTACTGAGCTTTTTGGCCTTCGTAGTCGTCACTTTTCTTTTCCAGAATTTCGCAAAAGGTACCGTACTTCTACGTACCAAAATACGACGGTACGTACGTACTCGTACTTAGTCCATGATCCTAATTTCAAATTTCTTTTGACAAAAACACGCATGCGCAGTAATTTTATTCATTCGTGTCTAACCGAGTCCTTCATTCGAGTACCTGTACCCGTAACTCATACGGTACAGTAGTACGTACGATACCTATCTCATATCTATAACTGCCTCGTCTCCTGCTTCGATACGAGTACGTACTGTAATCAATGCCAGTAGTGCAATAACAGGTACAAGTACGGTACTTACCGAGTGCGTGTACGGTATTTTGAAGACAAAGTATCATGAAGTGATCAAGATAAGTAGTGACACAGTTGTGCTTTTGTAGCTGCTAACCTTGAACCTCAAAGTCTGGTATACGCGAATCCAGGTTGCCATGACGACAATCTGAATCACTGGATGGATTCATCGCGGGGGGCACAAAATGATGATGGATTGCATGATTTGGAATAAAAGTAGCAGCTAATAATTACAGTTTTCAACGCTCTACTACGAAAGCATCTCAATAGTCTGGCGTCTCCCGTTTACGATGTATGCTTGATCGTCTCGGATACAGCACACGGATGATGACAGTAAATCATCATCGTTCCCAGCGTTCAAAGTGCTCTCGAGGAGTTCCTCCGTTTTGCGCTCCGCCACGTCTTGCCATTCCTCGGTCATGTGAGGAAATATTGATGTTCGACCAGCGACATCAAGGCCTCGGACGTCGGCCCAGTCTTCGTAGGTCTCTTTTCCGGGAACCACAGAAGGATTGTCCCATTCCTTTCGAAAAAGGAATGTCAGATAAGAATCAAGCAGTTCGCGATAGTGAGTATTTTAATAGGGGCCGCATCGATCAAGCAACAATTTACTTCACTCACCTTCCAGCAAGCTGTTTGCATGGATTCTCCTGCCAAAATAGCACCCGCACTGACTCCACAATAGACAGCCGAAAACGGGGATTCTATCTCGTTGTCGTTATTTGGATTGTAGCAACAGGCATCAATCAAGTCTTTTGTCCAATCTCCTTTCTCCATGCAATAGTGCAACCAAAAGGTATTGCCTCCTTGTACGTAAATGAAGTGGGGTTGCCATTGACGAATTGCCTGCTTCCCCGTCTGTACTCGCCATTGGCAGCGGTTTGATTTGAATGACCAAGGGATTACGAAACGCGGAATCACCGAGAAGAAGCATTAGGATTAAGAAAGTAGGCCAAAAATGAATGATCAGAGGTTTGAGAAGTTCTTGAAATTACCACGGATAAGGTGGAGGAATTTTCAGTATGCCAGTGCAGCAAGGAGGATAGATTCACACTGTCATTAGAAAATTTGACATACGTACCTCAGGAAATTCGTCGTCGGTTTCGGATAGGCTATTGCTGTTCGTAACTATTTCGGGTTGCTTGACGGAGCAATCGTCGAAGTCCATGGTGACGGTACGTATTGAATACAAAACGTCTGCGTTTCCTTCGCTACTGGATGCGAATTCTTCCAGCTGACGTTGTAGGAGGCCCATGATTTCGTTTCGTCGTTTCTTTCCGTCGGCGCGATTTCGTCCCCTTTGCTTTCCCGGTGTGCTTGTCGACTCCGGTCGAAGGGCATACATAGCGGTGGGGATGTACAAAAACCGAAGATCGACACTGAGCGGGTTGCTTTCGCCATTTCTCGCTCGCTTTGTCTCGCAGTAGAGCTGAAGGTTTTTCTTCCAATCGCCGCCTCTCATGTTTTCAAGTGCACGATCTGTCTCTTCCAGTTGATCAAGGAAGACCGGATCGGGACCATTGCATGGACTCGCAAGATTCGATTCTTTCAATGCTAGCTGTGCCTGCGCTTGTTCTTCTTTCCACAGGCTTTCGACAAGGGCACTCATCAACCAATCGACGACGATTGGATTCGTCTTGAGCCCATCGGTGAAAGAAGACAAGAGCAAGCCCTTATCGAGCCAGGTTGATCGTGTACTTTGTTTCGAAATCGGCGAATCCTTGGTGATTTCGCAGATTGCTGCTGTTTGAGATGACAATTTCAATCCGATTGATAATGAGGTTCTCGTCGCGCGGCCATTCTGTGGAGGGAGAAATGACACTACCGTCGTCAGGGACAGTAGCCACACTGCAACCAGTGCACCGGTGCCAGCTTTGAGTTTCAAACTCATCTTAAATGGATCCCGAGTTGACATGTTTCGGCTAAATTTCTTCGGAAGTTTCCTTGTTGACAATAGATACTGTGATTTGGTCGAGTCTATTGTTTAGGGTGGTTGTTTTGGAACAGCAACATGAAAAAAGTCGTACGAGGAAAAAACTGGAGCAGACACCGCTACGAGTAGTACGTACCGACTTTCCAACCATTCTTGGTCCACCGCGTCATCGTTCGAACATCAAACCCCAACCCTATCAACTAGTAATCAACTCGTAACTGAATTGCCAAGAAAAACTAAATCTGAGACGGCCCATACACGAGTACTTCGTACTGAAGTACGGAACGTACATACGTATGCAATTTAGTATTCGTGCACCTAGCACCGTTCAGCCCATAAAAGAAGTGTCACGCAGAGCCATCAAAAATACATACGAGACCAGCTCTTCGATAGAAATTACCTCGCCCAACGACCGATTTGTGAATCGATGAAGGCATCAACGGGTATTACGATTCCACAATCCATCCCAAAACCGCTGGCAATTACCGTAGCTTGCCGGATCGATCAACGTTTGTATACGTTGTTACGCTAACAACTCTTTTGGATCAGAAACAAGAAATAGAATTTGAAACAATGAAGAGAGATACAATTCGATGCACAACCAATGTCTGGCTCGCTTTCGCCCTCATCATTGCAATATGTAATACAGCTGTGAACGGATTTTCGAATCCATTCGGGGCAAGTAACAACAACGTCCATGCGATATACTTGTCGGCACAGTCACCATCGACCTTGTTCATGTCGTCTTTTTCTGCGGATGGGTCTGAATATTCCTCAAAAGACTCTGATTACGACACGGAAGATGTCGAAGAACGAAATTGGGGCGAAAACAATGAATACGGCGATGACCAAAACAATGCAGAAACTATAGAGATGAAACCTGTTCCAATGTCCAAGAATGCGGGAAATCGATTCGTGGCCCTCTACTGGGATCACGAACTCGAAGAGAACAAGAAAGAAGGGGAACAACGAGAGTCTTGGTGGTTGCACTACGATCGCGACGATCTCAACGAAGACCACGTTATGTATTGCCGCAAAAGCAACCTGTACAACGAAACTTTTAACCAGGATAGCATGGTCGATGTCATGAGAAGTTTGCCAATGTGAGTTGCTGGAGTGGCTGGATTGTTCCGGGTTGGATCGATGATGTTTTCATTTGCGACTCATTCGTCGAATTGCGATAGCGTTTGATTCCTTCGAAGGCGAAGGGAGGAAATACAACGAGCACGATCATAGATGTCGTAGGAATGCAGCTTCCCTCATCAGACATGCAAGAAATACTGAAAAATTCTCACTCAATCGTTTTTACTCTGTCTAAAATAGTCTGGCTTCCGATTTGAAGCGCATCGTTGGACATTGCATGGTACTAGAATCCACTGATCTAAAATATGTCAAGGACCTTTTGCGGGAAGAGCCAATTCTCAAGAGTCTCACCGATAATGGTGAACGCGTCGACGAAGTGCCCATCTATCGCTGGAGGCAGATTCGTGACTATACTCTGAGACAGGATGATGGACGATTTGGGTATCCCTGCCTGGCAGTCGCTTTGGACGACGACCCAGAAAACATTGGTAACATCCGCTCCGAAACAGAAAAGGCGGTTCTCGAATACCTCATCAAGAGCCAAAAGGTCATTATGGGTGGGCCACTTCACCTGCCCACGCAATTCAAGGACGATCCATCGAGCATTGCCGTGGGCGATCTGATCATGTTCAATGCCAAAGACCGCGAGGATGCCATCAACTTTGTCGAAAACATGCCCTCCTCCCAGGCTGGCCTGTACAAAGACCTTCGGGTTCACTTTTACAATCAGCTTGATGTTACGGGAAAATTTGTCTCGGAAGATCCCAATCGAGACGCACCCGGTTACCAGATGAAGGAGGCAATGGAATACTGGGGATATCCAACGGAAGACGACCAAACTCCATGGTTGAATTGGTAATGATGCCTTGTAGCTTTGTAGCTGTAATTCACGAAGGCTGAATAACGACGTAATTTGTTCAGCGTGGCACACACACCAAAAAACGAAAGCGTATACGCAACGATGGTAGAACGATTCTAACGAGAATCGTATTTTCAATAACCCTCTAGTCGCATATATTTTACTGCACCATGAATTCCACATGTTTCTAAGACATTTTTAAGATAATCCTTTTGGACCATATTTATAAAGAAGTTCAAATTATTCTTTTCGTGTACCAGTGCGGGCTCTATCATTTACCTAACAACAACTGCATGCCTTCTGATCCGATTCTGTCGACTCGGATTCTTGTGTTGTCTTCGGCGCTAATGCCGTGTTATCTTCGTCTTGACCTATCAGCGACCGAATCTGCCGGTACGGATATAGGGAACGGTGTCCGTCCGACCAATCTACGGAAAGGGCGTAATTTCCGGTCCCGGACATGCGCAGCGGCTTGATGTCATCGGAAACATCTGACGCCTTCAGAATTTGTTTCCCCGTCAGCTCCTCCACACACGCTGCACACCGGCAAGCTCGCCGCAGGGTGGCAGAATCTAATGGCTCGTCGTCGACCTGGATTATGTTGAATTCCTCAATGTACTCAATTTCCGGCCGTCGCGAGGCAAACTTGGCCTTGGCCACTTCGCTTACTACCGACTTGGCCAGTTCTCTGTAAATTTGCGTTTGTGAGCTCTCTGGGTTTTCCAGCACATATGGCGTTCCCGAATCTCCGTTAGCTGCAATGCGGTCCATCAGCGGCATACTATATGTGTGTTCGATCCCCCATTGATCCGACAGCCGTTTTTTGTGACCCGGTCCAAAGATCTGAACGGGATCCGTTTTCGCGTTTTTCAACACAGTTTGTACCAATTCTTCCGCAAATTTGTCGCCATCACCATTGTTTAGCAACCCTTTTTCGGCCAACATCTTGCGAACATCCTCTTCGAGCTCGTCTTTGTTGTTGACCTGGCTTGCAGGATCGCTGTCGTAGTACGCCATATTCTCAACTACGGCCACACACGGCACATCGACCGTATCAAACATTTCTACTCCCCTGACAACATCAGCAAAACTCAACTCTTGCGGTGTCGTTACGATCACACTGGCAGCATGAACAAAATGCAGTTATTTTTCAGTGGACATACGAAAATTCCAGGTCGTTCATGTAGCACGCATACAAAAATTTGAAGGAGGAAGAAAAATAAGTACTGTGAGTGCGTTGCAAAGCAAAGCAACAAAATGCTGTTCGCATTATCAAGGAACGAGAACGGAAACAAACAATACCCATCACGAAACTCACGCTGCGGTGATGTTGAGCCGCTGGGTCAGTGTCAGCTGAATATCTCCAGTGCCCGGAGGCATGTCAAGAATCAAGTAGTCGAGGGAACCCCACTGGGTCACGCTCAGAAACTGATCGAGGAGCTGGCTGACCATCGGTCCACGCATGATTGCCGACCCGTCGTTTATGTATCCGAAGCTCATGAGACGGACACCATTTCTTTGAAGCGGAGCAATCTGTCGCCCAACAAACCGAACCATGTCGTCATCTGGTTCGACCATAGTAGGAAGCGATGGTCCGTAGACGTCGCAGTCGAAGATTCCGACGCTCGCTCCTTGTGATTGGAGGGCATAGGCCAGGTTGACCGAAGTCGTCGATTTTCCGACCCCGCCCTTGCAAGAACTCACGGCAATTATGGCACCGATTCCGGCCATTCCCGACGTGTCTGTTTCCGTGTTGCTGGGTTCCTGTGCCGTCATAGTCACATCCACGCTTCCAACAAAGGGAAGTGCCGAGACGAGACGTTCGCAATCGCTTCGGAAGGTTTCTTTAACGGGACAGGCGGGCGTCGTTAGTTCTACGTCGAATGAGACCTTCCGTTCGGCCTCATCCAATTTCAGATTTTGAACAAAGCCAAGGGTGACAATATCTTGTCCTAAATCGGGATCGATGATAGACTTTAGGGTTTTCAGGACCTCTCCCTGCCATTCGTTGGGAATCGGAATATTTTCGCTGGTTGTCGTCGTGGAGTCGTCATCAGTAACAGAAGAAAGCAACGTCGAACTAGATCCCGAATAATATTGGTTTTGATTGAGATAGAGATGTTCAGGTTGCGCCTGCTTGTATGTTTTTGCAGTCGCCGATGTCGTTGTCGTCCTTGTCACAAAAGCGTTGCAATCAAAAAGAAGGGAAGCTCCAATTGCGATAGTCAAAACTATCCGAAGGCTTGATTTATTCTCCATAGGTGTTGATTCTTTCTTACTCTTTCCTTGGCTTCTATTTAGATTATATATCGGGTACCAACCTTCGTCTTTGGCTTATGCGGAGACGTTGTTGTTGTAGGACTTGACTTCTGATACGCCAAAGGCACTCCCCCGGGGTATGTTTTGTTCCCTGCTCCTACTAATAATCACTACAGTATTCTTTTTTGATCTATCTCCTCGTGTCTTTTGGGTCGATCCGATATGTACGGTAAGGTACCGATATGTTGTCGATTTGGAAGCAAAACCAAGAATATAATGATAGCTCGTGGTAAAAGAGGGGTGCGCAGAACGCGCGGAAGGATTTGATTGGAAGATTGAGCAGGAACTTGAAGACGCAGCTGACGTGCGTCAGCCAGCCAGGGCCGAAAATTTTCAAATTTAGTACGAAGTACTAAGAATGAAAATTCTCCACACAAACCCATTGGCTAAGGTGGATAGCCCACGTAGTTTTTATGGTGCAAAAACTTTGGGCAAAGGTTGGAAAGTTTGAACAAATTTAGAAGTAAATTAATGAAACCACTCTGGCTCTTGGTTGTTTCTAAACTATGAATGGAATTCATTGATTTGTTGTCTATGTTGTGTATTGGATGATTCCCATTAATCTAGAAAATATACTTTTGACAGACAGACAGACAATTTTTTGAGGATGATCGGCTAGTACTACTACTACTACTAGTAGTAGTAGGAGTACTACTACTAGTACTAGTAGTAGTAGTAGGAGATGAGAACTGTCTCTTTCTTATTGTAGTGGCGCTGGTGACACCATAAAGACAACTAAAAGTCTGGCTCCTTTCTATTGTTAGTCAACACTTTATGTCTTTGATTAAAACATAGAGCAGTAAGGTAGAAACTACTGCAAACTACTCTGAAGAGGACGAGGAGCTTGTCTCATCAAAATCTCAGAACTGGAGAGGAGAAGTTTGATCCAGACAAAGGTTGTTACATTGATGATCCTGCTGTGGAGGTCTTGTTGGTGGATCAGGAGGGATCAGGAAACACGTCACCAACATCATTGGGAGCATTGCCATTGTCAGAAGAATCAGAGGGTGACAGCAATCCAGTTGCACCACCAGCTGTGCCTGTGGCAAGGCCAACGTCCAGTGTTAGTAGTAGTACCCTGAGTACTAGTAGCAAGAAGAGATCATATGCAAAGCTGAAGAAGAAAATTGCTGATCAGGATGCTGCCTTGAGAGATCATCTTGAGTTGCACCAGAAAGAGAGAAAGAGACAGAAAGAGAGAGGAGGGCTAATGAGAGAGAAGAGGCAAGAAGAGCCAGCAAGAGGGCTGCTGAGCAAATGATCACCACCAGTGGCTTACTACCTTGAAACAAACTTTTGCTGATGCAAAGTTTGCAATAACAATGACAGGCACCAACACCAGCAACAAGAAGAAGCGCTGATGCATTGGGCTATTCCTATTGTATCGTCACAGCACAAACCGGATCTATGGTACTGCGCGTTTCACGTACCTTTTCACTGTAGAATATTGACTAGTACGTCACACAAACCGGATCTATGGTATTGCGCGTTTCACGCGGTTGACACCATCGAAGTTTCAGGGTCAACCCTTAGTCTTTCGTGATTGGATAATAGTTTAGAGAATTCC